TTATTAGATATGGGCTCTGCTTCTCCATGCACATTATTTCAGACTATCTATGTAACGTTGCATGATTTTATCAAACCGTTCACTTAAAGTCCCATGGCCTTTTCTCAGAATCAACAAATCTAGAATCCTATCTTCCCTTTTCTCCATGCTCAATACTCGAGAAGCAAAATAATAAAGACGGTCGACCTTGTCTTCTAAGTCTGCAGTATTCTTGGCTTGAGACACTTTAGGGCTGTCAGCAACAACGACGTTTGTTATTAAAGTACAATCACTATCCCGTTTCTGTAAAGGCGAGATCAGTTTGACATCATCCCTATATTGTGTGTCATCTTGTTCTCTTTCTTTGGTCTTTATAGGCCTTGTTTTATTTAAATTAAATCCAAATATCGCACTGATTTGCTCATTAAAGAACATCATTAACTCTGGCTCCGTTTCTTTCGTGAAATCGTCGTCAGGAACTCGGTCGAATGAAGAAGTTATGATAGCCACGAATATGTTCAGAAGTAGAAATACCATCAGCATGTTGAAGGCAATGAAAATAAGAGGTCCCATGATTCGGTCAGTTTCTTGCAGTCTGTAAAAGTAATGGGCACCTAAAAGTGTGTTCAAAATGCTTTCAAAAGACGTTATGAATGAGCTGAAGTCCTCAAGGTGTGCACCAAATATTAGGTATGTGCTGATTACAAACGGAGTGAACCACAAGGTGAATTCAATCATGAAGCGGCTCATGTTGTACGAGAAACTGGCAAAGACGTGCTCCAGAAGCTTGATGTAACTTTGATATTTCAACAAGCGTAAGAACTTGATAATTGTTAAGAAGACCAAAGCAGCTACGAAGTAATTATCGATTTCGTTGAATAGGAGCATGTATTGGAAGTTAACAAAAACAAATGGGTTTTTATCAAGTTTATCCATCGTCCTATTGAGAACAACCATCTTGACGAAGTACAGAACCACAGAAAGGAATCCAAAAACTACTTGCAGCATGTCAATCCAGTTCCAAAAGGACCTAAAGTATTTCTTCCCGCATTTGTAGGCTCGTTTCACAACACAGTAGAAAAGGAAAAGTAAGACAAGAGCAATGATGATCTCCGTTGCTTTCAAGACGTCTGAGTAGCTACCGAGATATCTGTAGACCCTGATAGTGTCCACCCTGCTGAAAGGCAGGTAGTCTCCCGTGGGGAGAAATTCCAGTAAAATGGTAGCGATACTAAATAGGTTTTCCTGGGCGTTGTAAATGACGAATTCCAGGAACACAGCTCTAGTTCTGCGGTCAAGCCAGTTGGTCTTTGTCAACTCGAGGATTACAGATAAGGCCTTTTCTGGGAAGTAGCCCAGCTCAGCGACATATCCACCCCCGGAGTAATAGTGTACTCTTCCCCAGAATGGCATGCTATCGAGTGTTAGCGCATCCTGGTATCTCCAGTGTAGCGGACACACGTCTAAAGTTGCATTTTCTTTGGTCATTCCGTTTTCTAAGGGTTTCCATCCGCGTTGATAGAAGTCAGTATCTTCTGATGATGCTGAATATGGGCCGTATATCGCTTGKTTCGCGATGGAAGGGATGTCTTCAGTTTCTTCGAATGGAAATGAAAGAAAGAGGTGTTGGCATTAGGACGGGAGGGATAGAGGGATAAGGAGGGAGGAATAAAATGGATGGATGGAGGAATGGATAAAGCAAGGGAAGATGAGATGGAGAAATAGATGGATGAATGGAGGAATATATGGATGGATAGAGGAATGGATAGAGCAAACAAAGTAAAAAATGAAGAATAAAGAATGGATTCAATCTTGGAAGAAATTATGACAATCAATTTTAAAACAATCTAACGTGGCAAGCTCTGGTTATCGTATAATAGGAGAGAGCCATGTTCGAAACACATGCATGATCAGTGCTGATCCAAAAATTGAAATCTCATAGATTTCCATTGTCTGTCCTCATATTGATCATAGATGACGCAACGGTTAGAAGCGCGTACTGTGTCTGTTCTCTTATTGATCAAAGCTGTCAGCCAATCAGATTGCGAGATTATGCTCTGTCATTGTAAATTAATTCACTTCTACATCAAGAGCGCTTGTGTTTGACTATACAAGCAAAGTTATTCTCTCTAATATTGAAGACGAAAATACTAATTTAGTACATACGTTCTTTCACTCGTATTTGTCGCAGTCGTGCCATACCAACCAGAACAGCCGCTCTGTTCGATATCAAGTCGTCCTCGTTACTTCCAGGAGCCTTACCGTTGTACCAGACACCAGCAAAGAGGTTTGGTACAATCGTTTTTCCTATCCATTGCCAGTATGCAGAGAACCGATTCGCTTCCTGATAGTAAAAAATATAAGAGCTATTTCAGTTTTTCGGAAAGTCATAGTATTGAAAGGTTACATACAAAATGAGTGCCCTACCATTCATTTGCTATCTTATTGATTACTTACCAGACGAGGCCGAAACATATTCCCGATCTCTTGGGTTAGTGTATATGACATTGAACTCATGTGTCCAAACGCGTAGGTCATTAACAAAAACACGAACAAAATATACCACACCACGTCTTTGATGACATTATACGTATTGATCTGCTTTATTCGGGACCTCCTCGCCTTTTGAAGAGCTTTCTTCTCCGGTGGTTTGGTGGTGAGCTTGGCGCCAGCATCACTTGTGCTCACTTCTGAATGCATGTCAATACTTATCATTTCTGTATCCATGGTGTTCCTCAAGGTTTTATATTTGGTCCTCTTGCGTATTTTCCTTTCTTTGATTATGTATGCCAGCAAAGCTGCAAGAGCAGCTATTTTAATTGGTTGTGTGACCAAAGCGTCTTGGATGAAGGAAGTAAGGAATGAGATGAGCCATTTTTCAGAAGTCTCTTTGTCCCACTGGAGGGTGTACATGAGTGTGACAATACACGATGATGTGGTGGTTATAAAACACAGCACCCAGGCGAGATAATAAAGGTTTCTATTACTGAATATCGTAAGGCATTTATCGCGTCTGTTTTTCTTGTTCTGCTTACAGCATTCTGTGTACAGATGCATAAAGGGGCCGACTTGAAGGTTTTTGAGAGAGAACAACGATTTCTTCGGATCTCCTGACCTAGTGCTGCGTCGGAACAAATAAGTGATGAGCAGGTTAACTGGAAAAACTATTAGGCTACTTTGTATCCCAATTACAAGGACCTGTACTGAAACCTTGAATGGACCGATGATAAGTACAGAGCTGTAATCAGTTTTGTTGCCGACGTTGTAAAACATACAGTTTGTCATCATAGTACAAAAGAGAAGTGACAGACAACAAGAGCAGCGTTGAACTCGAGTGAAATGGCTAGATGAAGGTTTCCGAGCAACGGAAAACCATAAATGTCCATCGTACAAGTCTCTTGAAGTCTTGGAAGCAAAGATCCGTTTGTAGCTGTTGAATTCGTTGGGATTTGCCACGTATATCAGTGCATCAATTTGACCATCATCGCTCTCTACCGCAAGCCATCTGTCACATACAAAATTCCATTCCTCGCCTGTCTGAGTGTCCAGGACGTTGACACTGTCCAGATACCAGGCCGGACTGTCTCCAGAATTATCATGCCATATCTGGATATAAACCAGGGATCCTAATTTGCTGGGGCCGCATACTGTGGTTCTCGTCTGTGATCCTCTATTGAATCTAGCCTTGGTCAGTTCGCTAATAGGTATGACTCCACTGCTTGCGTGTTCACCCACCATCACGAGGGAAACTTTAGCTGTGGTCCCTGCTTGGCTCCCTTGTCCTGTGTTTATGGTGATGAGGTAGTTATAGGTTTTCCCATCTTCATTGTGACCCATGGCTATCACACCGTCCTGAAAAGAATGTCAAACAAATTGTTTGATAGAGTGACTGGAGATAAATAGAAATGTTTGTGTATGGAATCCCTATGTCCTGACTGACTGTTGACATAGCTATACAACCTTGTTCCCAGGGCCCACTCTCTAAGAAAGAGAGAGTACTGGGAACGAAGTCGATTGCTATAATGAGCCCTTTATTATGCACTGTTGCCATAGCTACAAGCTTTGGAGTTATCTTATTAAGGTAACTAAGTAGTTCTGACCAGGCATAAACTACGATACTACATTGTCCTTACCCTAGACTGCGCCTGTCTTTTGTCAGCTCTTCTTCCCCAAACGACCGCCAAAATGTATATGAGGAAGACAGTTGCCACGGTAACATAGACTGGGATGTTGTCCTGGGGATTGAGGAAGCCTACCCATACTTTGTCTAAATCGATGGGGTTTGGTGCAACAAAGAGACTCCCACCAAATGACGTCATGTGGTTACAGCGACATGTCATCCTGCGGGAGGATTGCTTTCTTCTTCCGACCTAAACAGAAATGCGTCAATGGACCACTTTGACAATATAGCGGCCATCTTGGATCACAACGCATTATGGGGTGTCCATGGGGCAAATAAAGCTTTGTTACAGTTACAATGTCGATTGATATTTAAAACTCAACACAAAACAACGCAACAATTAAGACGGATCATCGATCATCTTTACCCATAAAAGAACGACGAACACAAGAAACTCTATATATTTTCTGTCACGATTGTTTTGTTTTGCCCCCTGGCAAGATGGCCGCCGTATCGTCGAAGTCGTCCATTAAAGACGTACAAAGTTAACATAGGCACATGATAATGCTACCTCTATAAAGGTAGACATTTTCTTTTTCTTTCCATTCAACGTTTTTTCACTGGCGTTTAATTTATTTTATCATGTTGTTTCAAAAAGAGGAATTCTTAATTATCAATAGATTTCGAGTAACCGCAGTAATAGTTGCGCTCAAAAACAAACACATAAACAAGTTAAATGTGCGCTAAATAATGTTATAGTAAACTCCGCCATATCACTTCAAATTTTATCATAAGATCCCCATGGGATTTGGTGGGATTTTGATAGATTTTTAAAGCCTTGGTTACTGCTAGAAAGTTGATATATCAAATGTAACGTGTCCCATTCAGGGTATTTAAACCGTACCTTACAACCCTCTGTTGTCCACGTGCTAGATGATTCATCCCAGTAGCTACACCCAACACTTACARTATCCATGCTATAGTTACGGTCAATCAGTTTATTGAATTCCCGCTCAAACGCCTCATAAGCACCATTACCAGGCAACGGCGAGGGAGGTTCTTTGTACTTGATACAAGATCTCTTCACTCTTAGACCACCTGATTCACAGTCTCTCCTTTGTCTGCTCTTGACTTCCACCACCGCGCTGCTTTGGTCGCTGTACGCGATCCCAACGAAATATATACCAGTCTTGGCCAGGAAATCACTTGGTATGACAATCTGGTATGGGTTTTCAGAGCAGTTGAAGGGAATTAGATCCTCATTGATGGTGCATGAAGAAAAGTTTGGAAAGATCATTTTCATGTCGTAGTCGGTGTGAGTTGGTCTGTTGGCGTACCTAATGTAAGCAATGAAGGAATCGGATTCATTAACAGGTCGGATACCTAGTTTTATGGACCCTCCCTGTTGGGTGTGATGGACAGTGTGGTATTGCATGGACGAGTTGTCCGCTCTTTTGAAGTATTCTGGTGGTGTTTTCGTGACTGGCTCTTCTACATCACTCAGAACTATTTCAATGTCTTCTTCGAGGTTTTCTATCTTGACGGTCTCTCCCATATCGTTCTTGATCTTTAGCTTGACGATGGATGATTTGATTCTTGTGCTTGTCCTGTCCCATGTGTAGGGGTTGTGAGGGATAAGCAGCATCTGTCAAACAAAGATCACGTGTATTAGACATGCGCGCATGAGAAAACTAACGAGTAAACTAGTTTGGGCTACGTTGGTGTATGAAAACACCGTATGCTGAAAATAATTTTCTTGATGTAAGACAAACATTCTTCAAAATCAAGTTTTCAATATTCTGGTTCAGGGATTCCTACTAAATCCTTTAGCACGCATTTGTTGCGAAATATTCATCGAAATAATCAAATGAAGATAATACAATACCATGGATCGATAATGCAATTTGCAGATATCTTTAAAGCAAAGACAGCACTTTCTACTCAGATATTTTAAGACCCCGAGTGTTGTTTCAACTGGGGCTTCTGAACCCACGACTTCCGGCACAACAGGCCAAGGCTCGGTCACCAAGGACTGACACACGTGCGCCGCGATCTGAAATATAGCTTGATAATATATTGAGTAAGAATCTCGCCTTACACTCATATCTACGAACGAAATGTTTGTATTATTCAGCAACACTTGAGCTTGTGGGAACTGGACTTGTGCATCTTTGATTGCCATTGGCTTTTTGCCAACGTTCTTTGGGACAATGCGCCTGCAGGATAGACCAGTAGTGGTTGTCTGTACGATAGTGTCTTCTTCTGCTGGTAGCTTCTTGTTGAATACAGCCTGAATTGAATACTCAAATGTCTCCATACTCTTATAGACCACTTCCTGGCTCTGAATATAGAAATACAGATATTAAAAAATATTTAAAAGGTCAAACAGGAATGGGCAATGATTCGATTACACAATAAACAATGAGACTAATCGCTCTCACGGTGTACGAGTCAATAGCCCATGGACCAATAAAGTGTTATTATTTTTATGAATGGATGTACAAAAAATTTTAAGTTAGGTTGAAAACGCGAGTTAGCGCCATTTTTTTTTTGTTTTTTTTTTGTTTTTTGTTTTTTTGTTTTTGTTTTGGTTTCCTAGACCGTTATTCCATGGTCTATTACAAGTTTTGTGCACTGATTGGCTGAGCTACAAGTTATCTAGCGAAAGGTTTTCAAAGGGTGCGATGTGTGATACATATAATGTTTTCACATATTTACACGAAACGGATTGCGCGCAATGTTACAGTAGCTGAACAACAAGACATCGAAACATGCGGCAGTTTGATTGTTTTTGCGTAACCTTTCAACTCAAATTCTATAAAGTGTAYACACTTATTTCAAAAGTGTTAGTCACCTGAAAAGCTATAAAGCTGAGGCCGACCAGGATTATGGGTAGATTCATTTTACACGTTCAACTGCTTGATAACTGTTCATGGACTTGCGAATCTTTTACAGGTTACAGTCTCACCTCTTCTGAGCATCATCGAGCTGCAGCTTGTATTAAAAAAGCTTTGTATATATATATGTTTCCCATGATGCTCAGTGATCTCAGCTTTCTAGGTTTTTGTTGACTAACTTTATTGAAATAAGTGTATACATTTTTATTAGCTTTTTATAGATAAGATTGACATGCCTTTTTCTTTTCAGTTTCACTGATGTCTGTTCTTTCATAATTTGTGGTATAGGCCGCTGACCTCATGATGTTACTGCCTGCAGACACCAAGTCCTTGGCTGCATCTGTGATGGAAGAAAAACCTACATCTTCTGAAGAAACGTTCAGCACATACTTGGCCATTTCTTCGATCTTATCCTTCGCGACAACCTTGCAAGGTAAATAAATAGACAATATTTATATTAGTATATTCTTGTTGTTTAACGAATCTTTAGTAATAAGAGCAAGATTTCGTATGAGTCTTAAACGTCTCCTCGATGGAATTTGTGACATTTTTTTTGCATGTGTCCATCGCGCGTTTAAAACTTATTTGATAGATCTAATCCACAGTTTTCCCATTTCAGACCACGTGTCATTCCCTAAAGTATCATTTCTTTGTTTAATCGTTGCGCACGATAAGACACATGAATATGGACACACTGTCAAACAAAGAAATGTATTCTCGATGGAATGACACGTGGTCTGAAATGGGTAAAACATCAAGCCAAAGTGGATTAGGTCTTTTGTTTAGCTCTATTCGCTCTATTTACTTAATGAAGAAATGAAAAACACTCGCGCGTGCTGCGTGCTCATATAATGCAAGCGCGTCCAATCGATTAGAAAGCAATATCCATAACAGTTATTTTATAGCAAATGAATGCTCACTTTAAAACAAAACAGAACATTATGCTGACAGCATAATGACATTTATGTCGAAACATTATACTGTTGTAAGATCCGGTAATCCAACTAGATGAATCCGCATATCTCAAGTCGACCAATAGGATATGATTACTGTTATTACGTAGCAGTACTTAAGGCGCGTCTTACTACCACGAGGCCTCTTTCCTATTATTCTCGCAGTCGAGCAAGTTCACTGTAAAATTATCAGGCAAGTTATTTTACTTTTACACCCTAACTGTATTATGGCTGACAAGCGCATTCTTATTCTGGGACATTCCTTTATTCGTCGTCTCCACGACTTCATCGAACGTAATTCCGATCTTAC